CCTCAACTCGCGCTGTCTGTCCGGAGTGGCTCTTGGCACCGGCAGTATCTCTGAGAATACTACCGTGGAGGTCCTTTCCTTCATCCTAGCACCTAGGTCTCTGAACTCTCTTTTTAGCACACTCCAATTTCCTCCTATTTTGTCATTGGTGCCGATGTGCACCATGACAACTGGGTCATGCCCAACCCCATCTAGTAATCTGTCAATTCGTTCCGCAATGTGCCGAACACGTGCCCCTGGCAGTCAGCACACTGTTCGACGCTCATGGTTCCGCTGACAGATTACCCTGTCAGTCCGCCTGATGATGGAGTCTCCCACCACCAGTATCTGCCTCTCCTGACCCTCCATCCGGCTCCCCTCCTCGCCGGAGCAGTCACTCCCCCTGCGGATAGAGGTTGCGTCCTGCTCCAGCAGAGTCCCCCCTGAACTGGTATCCCCAACATCATGCAACTTGGCATACTTATTGGGGTGAACCAGATCAGGGCTGACATCTCTAGCACTCTTCCCTCTCCCCCGCCTTCTAACAGTAACCCAGCTCCCCACCTCGGGATCCTGCTCCTCCAACCCCCCCTCCTCATCCAGACCACCCTCCACCACAGCCTGGTGCATTATGTCCAGACTCTTTTCCATGACTGTTATGCTCCTTAGTGTTGCCAGTTTCTTGCTTAGATCCAGAATCTGGGTTTCCAAACAAGCAACTCGCTCACATCTCGCGCAAATGTATTCACCCTCGAACGCATGTTCAAGGAGCTGCATTGTTCAGACTAATCACTGAGAGGGCGCTGTGGAGGATTTCTGCCAGTGAGATCGGAAATCAGAGAGCAAGCACACGCGCTCGCGCAGCAGCGTGGGTGACGAGAGACGCCGAGAGGACGGGAGAGACGGCGGGACCGGGAGTTGGCGGGAACAGAGGCCGGAGGACATAAACTTTTGTCCCATAACAAGAAAGGAATTAAATGTATGTACACCAACGCTAGAAGTCCAGCAAATAAATTAGAAGAGCTTGAAATTATGATACTCGAAGAGGACTTCGATATAGTGGGTATATCGGAAATCTGGCTAGACGGCACACATGATTGGGCTACTAATATAGAGAGTTATAACCTATTCAGGAGGAACAGATGTGGGAGAAGGGGGGGGGGGTTGCATTTACATTAAAAACTATCTGAATATGCATATAAGGGACGATATCACGTCAAATCTACACTCCCAAATAGAAATAGCTTGGAGGGAGGGCAAGTTAGTCGTGATGGGCGACATCAATTACCCTGACATCAATTGGGCGAATGGTACCTCAGGATCGACAAAGGCGGGCCGATTTCCGAACTTGTTGCGAGACAATTTCTTGGAACAGATGGTGGAGGTTCCAACTAGGAAAAATGCCATCCTAGATTTAATAATTACTAATAATGGGGAGTTAATTGAGGATATTGTAATTGGGGAGACACTGGGTAATAGTGATCACAATGTGATTACTTTCAATATTAAATACAGGAAAGGAAAGAGGGCGGGACAGACAAGAACCCTTAATTCCAGAAGGGCCAACTTCGATAAGTTGCGCAAACTAGTGGGGGAAATAAAATGGGAAAACTCATTTCACAACCTAAACTCAGACCAAATGTGGGGCTGTTTCAGGAACACTTTACATATTGCTATTTCAAAGTGTATACCATTGGGTAACAAAAACAAAAGATCAAAGACTAAACCTATATGGCTAAATAAAACTGTAAAACTACATGTTAAGGCAAAGAGAATGGTATTTATAAAATATAGGATGGAAGGGATGGCATTGGCGTTCCTTAACTACAAGGAATGTAACAAAAAATGCAAACTAGTAATCCGGGAAGCTAAAAGAGTGCAAGAAGCATATCGCCAGATAGTTGGAAAAAAAAAAAATTCTACCAATATATTAACAGTAAAAAGGTGAGAAAGGAGCAGATAGGCCCAATAAAGGACGAAAACGGGAAGTTACTCACAAATGACAAGGAGAGGGCCGAGGCGCTGAACAATTTTTTCTCCTCAGTATACACTCAGGAGGGAAACGGGTTCGACGTACGTGATAAAACACATAGTTCAACCGATAATATACCGCAATGGTTGACGGAAAGCGGAATAGAACATAGACTTAAAATGCTCAATGCAAATAAAACATCTGGAGTACGCGGTCCAGTTTTGGTCGCCGGTACTGAGAAGGGATGTCCTTGAACTGGAGACAGTCCAGCAGAGGGCAACCAAACTAGTTAGGGGAATGGAGGACCAGAGCTATGAGACAAGGCTTCTGAACTTAAACATTCCCCCTTAATCTCCTTAATTACGCTGGAATTAAGGAGATTAAGGGGGGATATGATTTTAATGTACAAGATGTTCAATGGTGACAGCAACATTGGCAACAAACTGTTTAAGATTAACTCCATTACAAAGACTATAGGCCACCACCTAAAGTTGATGGAGAAAAAATTCCAGCACAATGGGCGAAGAGGGTTCTTTACACTAAGAGCGGTTAAGGTCTAGAACTCACTGCCACCGGCAGTGATTTCAGCCAAGAGTGTAGATTTGTTCAAGAAACTTTTGGACAAATTCTTGAGGGATCGTAATATCCAGGGATACAAGTATCCCTAAGAATGAGATGATGCGTGGACCTATATGGGTTGGACTTGATGGACGTATGTCTTTATTCAACCCCAAATACTATGTAACTATGTAAATACGGATGCATCCGAATGTCCGAATATGCTTAAATTCGTCCGAATTTCAATTCGGAGCAAAACTAATCGCACATGTCTAGTGCATTATCTTACAGTAACTTAGCAAAAATAATGTACCGATTCTATGCACAGTATTTAAGCACTTTTACTAGGTCATATTTTAAACAAGCCCACACCACCCAACTTTTTCATTAAAAAAATAACATTTAAGTGTATTCTTTTATCTGAAAAGGCTCCAAAACTATTGCAGTGCCTATGTACGCAGTATTGAATCACCTGTACTAAGCCTTTTTTTTTTACATTTCCAATCTTTATTTATCAGGTTATAACAAGAGTACAGAAAAACAGGGAGGAAACAAGAGGCAAAAAGATAAGGAACATTGCATATTTAAAATAATATAAACCTACTCTGTGCGCTATTGGGTTAAAGCATTGTCAATGATGAGCTTCTGAAGTTAAAAAGGAGGTTAAAAGAGAGCTATGGGGTAACCTTTTTATCCCATAGTACTCTTTAGGGTCATTGGAGAACATAAACTAACCTCCTCCCGTGACCTAAAGCTCAGTATATAGTGGGCTATATACTGAGAGCGCCGCAGTCATGACGGATCCTAACAATACTGTCAAGATCCACCGATCTGGCTGATTGACAGCGGGCTCTGCCTATCTAGAGGCAAAGCCAGCCTGCCCTCTCCCCGATCCGTTCCTCCAGTCAGCGCTGGAGGATCGGAAAGGGGAGGGGGAACCCCTGTGACCGGCTGTAACAGATCCCGGCGGCTCCCCCGTCCAGCGTCACTGGACTCGGGGACGCACTGGACTCAGGACTGCAATATTTCATCCAACAAACTGGGATAGAGAAATAAGTTATAATAGGGAACATTATAGAGTAATGTTCCCTATTATAATCCATTTTCTAAATAAACCAAATAGCACACAGTGTGCAGTTTCTGGGCCCCCCTTTCCCCCCCTCCCCAACTGTGTCTTACCTTCCACAATGAAATGCTGCCAGAGCCGGACACCATCGGCCACACAGTCGGAAGGGGGCAGGGCATGTGACACAGTGCCCGCGCCAGGAGAGTGGTGATCCGGCGGTGTGTCCTGTATACTGCCTGCATTGTATTAAGGCAGATACATTGCAGGCGATATACGCCCCCCGCAGCGCTCCCAGCTACAGATACAAACATACATGCACACACATGCATACATACACACACTTAGATACATACATGAACACACACACTCAGATACTGTCATTGTTTACTTTTTTCTTTTTTTAAACTTTATGTGGTGTACAGAGTGTACACTCCAATCAGGTCCCCGCATAGCAGTGCAGTGTACTGCGCAGTAGTGTGGTACCCTGTGGTGCGATCCAGTGAGATGAGATAAAATGCAGCACGTTTGAATGTTATCACAGCGCCCAGCCCATCACACTTGCATTGTGGTGTGAATGAGACACATAGAAAACAATTGTTTTCTATGTGTCCCAGTGGTGACCTGTGTTGATTCAGGGCATGGCAGCGCTGGTCACTGCATGTGCTAACGGGCCCAGGCACATACATACACTTACATACATACCTTTATATACACAAACTCAGATACTTACATACTGTACATACACTCAGTTACATACATACACACACATTTAGATATATACATAAATACTAGGGATGCACCGATACCGGTATTTTGGTACCGAGTACCGATAATTTTTTTTGGGTACTCGCCGATACCAATTACCGAGTAAAGGAAGTCCCATTCAGGAAGCCGGGCAGCACGTAAAGAGTCGCCACCCGGCTTCCCGATTAACAAGAAAGTCCCCTCTTACCTTAGTATGTGCAGCCTGTCATCCCCCGGGGCCTCTCAAGCGAGAACGCGGCCTTCGTCCGGCACCCAGCCGGAGCCGTCTAGCCGGCCAATCAGGAAGCCAGGCGCCGTGTAATGACGCGACACCCTGCTTTCTGATTGGCCGGGAGGCCGGCTCCATGCTCTCGTCATGCCCACTTTTATTTAAAAGCTCACAGAAGTTTTCCCTCATGGGGGTTTCTCCAACATAACACAACTTCAGCTTTGTCTTTCAGCAAAATAATGTTTTACAGACTTCAGGTTATCACTTCAAACCTCTCCCACACAAGCTGTATCCAACCGACTTGCCACACAGGCTGGCTCCAGGATGGAGTTCTCCTGACTCCTGGACAGACACCTCCTATGCAGGGACGCAGGGCAGCCTTCAGAAATTTGGGAGCCCCTTACATGGCTTTAGGCCGACCCCCCCCCCAAGAACACTGAGCCAGTCACATCAGTCTCTGTACAGAGGAGCTTACACTCTAATGTCCCCCCACAATCACACACTATGATTATACATGTATATAGCTTTGACGTATACCACATCACTGTACAGAGAACACTGAGCCAATCACATGCATAATACCATCAGCTATTGTAATGTCCCCCGGCTTCCTGGCTCCTCCCGACTGCGTTCCAGGCTGGGGCGCATCGGCCGCGGTGCACGCCGCTCTCCTCCTCCCCCTTGACGGAAGTCTAGATGCGTTCCACGCTGGAACGCGGAAGTAGCCCACGATACACTGGACGCAGGGCTCCGTGACCCGCTGGACGCAGGGCTTCGTGACCCGCTGGACGCAGGGTTTCGTGATTAGCTGGACGCAGGGTTTCGTGACCCGCTGGACACTAGACATGTGCACCGGCAAAAAAAATTGTTTCGTTTCATCTTGTTTTGATTCAGAATTTGCGTTATTTCATTTTTCGAGATTCGGACGAAATTCGTTAGCGGTAGTCTGTACGAATGTTCATTTCCGTTTCCTGTTCGTATCGTTCGTTTCATTGCAGCAAAGTGACATTACATTTTTTTTAATTGTCACTTTGCTGCAATGAAAATTTGTCCACAACGAAAATGCGTACAGACTACCTGTAACGGATTTAGTCCGGAAAACTGATTTTTTCCGACACGAATCGCACATGTCTACTGGACGCAGGGCTTAGGGTTAGTTCACACCATAAGCAGTGTGCTCCGGTCCGATTCTGGCCAGAACGCACTGCCCGCATTTTGGGCGGCTCACTTTTTTGCCGGGCTGGAGGGGCGGGCCATTGAAGTGAATGTCACCGTAGCCACGCCCTCTGGCTGCAATGCGATCGCCCGCACGTGATGGCAAGGCACATTGTGCCTGCAGTGCATTCAGATGCGGTTACATAGTTACATAGTATTTGAGGTTGAATAAAGACATTAGTCCATCAAGTCCAACCTATTAGGATCTCATACAGCATTTTAATCGCACCGCAGCAGAACGCACTCACTGCAGGCAGTGAGTTCCGGCCAGAATTAGACTGGAATGCACTGCTTATGGTGTGAACTAACCCTTAGTGACGGGCTGGACTCTGGCTTAGTGACGGGCTGGACTTTGGGCTTAGTGACGGGCTGGACTCTGGGCTTAGTGACGGGCTGGACTCTGGGCTTAGTGAACTTTGCGCAGGGCTTCGCAACATGCTGGACTCTGGGCTTCGTGACGCGCTGGACGCTGGGCTTTGTGACCCGCTGGACGCTGGGCTTCGTGACCCGCTGGACGCTGGGCTTCGTGACCCACTGGACGCAGGGCTTCGCGACCCGCTGGACGCAGGGCTTCCTGACCCGCTGGACGCAGGGCTTCGTGACCCCCTTTGCGCAGGGCTTCGCAACATGCTGGACTCTGGGCTT